ACACTAAACTTTTTCCTAGTGGAAAGTTAAACATGAACTTGCCTCATAATTGTCTTCATTGTCTGGAAACAATTGAATTAAATCATTAAAATATTGTTTTTCACAGGTCATAGATGAACTATAAACAAGGCAGAACTCAATAACACATGAGCAATCCTGCAAATAACCTTCCATTGACTAATCAATTACAGTTTTCCATTCTACATCAGGCAGCCCATTTGAACCCAATCTTTAAGGGTTTCTTCTGCTTCCACTTAAGTCTTTGAGAAAGCTGTTGATGAAATCAAATTAATAAAACAAAGCCTAAATAATTTCTCATTCTCTAGGGAGCACTATTGAAATCAGAGAAATGTTTCCATGTTAAGATTAGGTTTGTCCTGAAAAAACTGTCATGTTTTATAATAAATAAAATGTATCAACAATGTTCAGGGAACATTAACACATGGATACTGGTGTCTCTCATCTGTCTCATTGCAATTGTTGTAATGAACTTTACTATTAAGCATTACAAAAATAATTGATTTAGACCACAACAATTCAGGCACATGTCATCTGGGTAGAGAGCCTCGAGATCTGCAGGTGCTCAGCAAAATATAAAAACTTACAGCTTAGACTGAAAGGGGTTTTTTTACATGCACCATAACTGCTGCTATGAGACGAAAATAAATGGATATGGCCAAAATATTTGTATTCCTCTCATATGATGAAATTTATGGTGATGAACATAGAACACCACAGAAAAAACAGCTTTGCTTGCAGAGGATAAAAGCAAGATTTGGGCACTATTTTCAGCCCAGTAAAGTTTATACTGAAATTGATATTTTTTCCTCATTTTATACATAGACAGGTATCACTATTCAAAGCATTGTGTAGCTGGATTTTAACATGACAGTCGGGTGACTACTCTTATACTGGATCCAAAGCTACTTGAGTTTTATGGCATATAAAACCTCTGCACTCTCTCTTTAAAGTCGGAGCCACTAACAGTCTAAGAATTCCAGATGTGGCTTTAAAGCTGTGTTTTCTAGCTTTCAGTGTAGTTGCCTTTCCCCCTCAACTTCAAAATTACATCAAGATGAGTTTTCTAGGGCAAACAGTTCTGGAAATACTGAATGCATGATTCTAGCTCATGAGCATATATAACCTCCATAGAGAAGAAAAAAGTGCTTTTAATAAAGACTAAATAATGAAAAGAGATACAGGTAAAAAAAAAAATTAATTACAGAAGAACAGACACAGAGCTTGAAGGAGAAACAAAGAAACCCCTTCAATGGACACTTCAAAAGCCTAGCAAAAATCCAGCTATATTCATAATCAAAAAGTTTTTTGTGAATGAAAAAGCTAATTTAAAAGAGGCGCTGGTATTCCAGCCCTCAGGCTTTCTTCAAGGTAAAAACAACACAAATGAGCAGAAACCTCGGCACAGTCACCCTTTAAATCACATGTTTACCTGGCACTTGTTTAGCTGCTATCAAGGAACTCTCATATTCATTCAACTGGAAATTTGAATTTCCCCTCAGCAGTCTAGCTTCTCAGTTCCATTTGTAAAAAAATAAGCATGGAAAAAAAATAGAAATGGAACCAGTCACTCTTCTCTTTAATAGAATTTAAATCAAGAATTTTGGTAAGTAAGTTTCTAAGACCAATTTAAAAAGACAAAATACTTATTCTGAGCTGTCAGTTGCTTTCATTGCACTGTTTAATTTGGCCAACTCACTCCAGGCTGAAGTGCCTGGCTTTTTACAGGTGATGGTGAAGAGGTTCTATGTCAGGTTTGAGTAGAATACCATCTCTACACATTTCTTACAAACATTCTAACACCACAGTAAATCTCATTCCTGTAGACATACATGCAAAGTTAGGTGAAGGTCCAGTTTCCATCTTCTTTCTTCCCTTTCAATTCCCCCATATTAAGTGAAGGATTAGTTTTACTTTACCCTGTTTTTGGACATGGTGCCATAGATGAAGTAACAGATCTTCTGACTCACAGGGAACAGAGATGAGAGATTTTATTCCATGTTCTTACAATCCCTAGCATGATAACTTTAAGGTTCATGACTAGAGATAAAAGGAATGTTGAAAGTCACACACACACACTCGATGAGGCCCTGTCAGCATTTACAAGGAAAGGATGTAATAGGCTGGTTAGCACCTTTAAATTCTTGGGAAGGAAAAATAATCTGGACTACACTATTAATATTTATGATGCTCAGAGTAACTTTTATTGTTTGTCTAGCATGGAAAGACAGGAAGTTTAATGCTTTGAATGACCAATTTATGAAACTTTTTAAAATTAGGGAAATAGGAAATGCAAGAGAGGGTCAAATTCAGGCAAATTACAATATTGACTACCTAGGTCATAGCCTTGTTTATTTCCACAACCACTATGCCAGGACAGCCTCTCCTTTCCTTCCCCTCCTGAATTCTACTGCATTATTCCAGATGTAGCAGCTTGATTAGCTCCAAACTGGATCTGAAAAACAACTTGGGAACTAGTCTGCATTCTCCATTTTGCATCTCTAATGCACTACTGAATTGCTAGTGTCCACATTCCCTATTGAAAGAAAAAAACAGAAGTCAGCATCCTCAGCAGTTATCTACTATTTTTACATCACAGCCTGTAGATCCTTATGTGAAAAGCTACTCTGAATATTCATGTCAGTCAAAAAAATGCATAAAAGAACTCACAAAGAAAAAAAAAGAATTCTCATCCAAGAGCTCCTTTAGAAAAAGTTTCCATGTTCTTAAGTTGCTTATGGGTACTGCAGGAATTTCTTCACCTAGGAGCTGCAGTAATTTTGTACCATTTATTTAACCCTAAGGTTTATGGTTTGGTAATCTCCACCTACTTTGTTCATCTTGTAATTTGAAAAGCTATGTTTGTATGAGCCATACGGATCAAGAGTGTTACTACTTTCATAGATCACATGCCCAATAGATCAGAATGATCCTCTGGAAGAGAATAATCATCTCGAGACTGTACAAAAAGTACAGGATAACTGCCATAAAATATCCTGTACAACAGTAGCAGGTGAAGAACCATTTATGAGTTAAATTAATGTAGACGCAGAAAATATGAGGCAGGGGGAACACTATTTGACATTTCTCATCTTCATGAACAGGGTAAAACTCCTCTTGACTGCTAAATAACTTTTAGAAAGATGATATGCTTGGAAGTCTGATTTTGTTGCTCTTGGTAACACAGCAATACAACTGCTTAGATACATGATTCCTATCCATACCAGTATTTTTCCAGTTGAAAAAAAAATTGTTTTAGGAAGTGAAGAAAGGAGACAATGCAGCTTTTTATTTTTTGATCATTCCTATCCTTACATGAGATCACATAGTGATCCATAGATCACATTATTTCTGTTGCATGAAATTTCCTGAGATCACTGCTCTTTGGTGCCTGAGCTGGTGGGAAGGCACGTGTTTGGTGAAACTACCATCACCTCACTAGTCCAGCTGCTACCTCTGGAGAACCCCAGCTGCTGTCTCAGAAGCACCTCAAATGCCATTGCACCCTTAAATGAAGGTGAACCAACTGTTGAAAGCAGAATGTTAGGACTTGTCAACTGATAATGGCATCCACTGAGAGAAGGCAAGGAAAAGCTAAAGAGAGACACTGGCAAAAGATTAATTTCTGGCAGGATAGCCCTTTCTTGTAACTATGACTTCCTTAAAGAAGGAAGCTGCAGACAGGAGGAAAAATTTGAACTCTGCAGTGAAAACTCATATAATACAGGAAAATATTGTTGTACAGAGCAAGTCCTGCCTACAAATTGATCAGATGCTCCTGCTCCCAATTAGCATTATTCTGGGAATGCTGGGCTTTAAGTTCACAAAAGACTGCAGCTTCTTTAATACACAGCCCTCCAAGAAATGCTTTGCAGAGGCACTGTAACAACAACATGGATTATACCTAGAAAAATAGATCTGCTTGTTGTCACTGTGTTAATCTGCTTGAAGGCACTCCTGCTTCTAAATTCACTTCACATGATTATTCAAATTCATGTTCATCACTCACATTTATTTTCCAGGCTTCATATAGCATTTTAAAAACACTAACTTCTGTAGACATTCACCTGTGTTTGCTATTCTGTCAAAATGTTATCTTCCATCACAGCTAGCAAAAGAATCAAACCTGACAGCAAAGAGTCCAAACTGCAACTTCCAACAGCAAATCCCACTTTAGCAGCTGACAACTCTAGTTCACCTTCATGGTTAAACTCGAAGTTTTGCATGAACAGCTGCACATGGATGAATGGACTCTTTCTTCCAGATTTTATATATATATCCTATATATTGAAACAACCTAAAAAGAAAGCCAAGTTTGAAGAAAATCTGTTCAGTGATTCTGAAGAAATAAGCTTGACAAAACAGTCTTGAGTCATTGTTGTAGTTTGCTAATAAACAAGACTTGTTTTTTCCCAGTTCCACCTTATTGTCTATCAGAGAAAAGAATTCCACTAAAAAATACATTCTACCTCTCTTCAGAGGCAGAGGAAGAAAAGGTCAGTCTCAAAGAATTTGTCTTAAATGTTACTGTGAACAAGTAAACAAAGACTGCAAGTAGCATTCAACCCATTCATTACACAGATCCCCTCATCACAACTTTACTGACATCAAAAAAAATAACATGCTCATCCAGTATCAAAATTCTAACAACAATTTTGAGCTAGTTCTTCCTATATACACTGTTTAACAAGAAAAAAGTAAATTTCTGTGACAAGGGTATGAGGTCGTTTCTAGCTAAGAGAGGTTATAACTGTTCTACTGATTACCTGCAAATGCTTGAAAAGACACCAATAGGTCAGTGTTACTTTACACATTAAGTGTTTTACTTTTCATTTCTTATGTGCCTTCAGGATTTTTGAAGAATCCTAAAAGAACATGTGCTTTGTCTTTAAAGCAAGCAAAGCTGGCTCACAAGATTACTCTTTGGAGACCTTGAAAAACAGAAAATCAATATCTGAACAAAGCATTTTTACCACAGGAAATGCCAAAATCTAAGGATTTTCTTTATTTTTCTTGCAATAATTAAACATGAAATTAAGTTTGGGCTATCATGCTTTTAAAAAAGTTGTAGTAGGCTGATTAAGTATATCTGGAATCAAAAAACAGTAAGTTACATCAAATGAAATAAAACATACTCTACTGACACCTATGGCAGTAAGCATATACAAAAACAATATGTGAATTTGTTAACAATTCCAAGTCAAAACTAGATATTTTCTTTTATTCATTACTTGGCCATCTTCACAGGTCCACAGCAGAAGAGAAACAACGTACAATAAACAACAAAATTAAACAAAGAAAGCAAAATTTTAATTATGCTACATAAAAAAAATCCTTCTGCCTTTTGATTACATGTAGTCAGAAATAAATTTTAAGTGCTTCTGGAGATGATAATGATGAGTTAAAGATGAAGACACTTTAACAGATGTTTTGAAACATTCTTTACTTTTTTGATTTATAGATAATCTATCCATAGTTAAAGGATTAACTCTTACATTTTCTTCTACAAACTACTAAAACCAGACACTACCCAGCAGCTTAAATAACATATGAAAAAGCTGCATCTATTTAACAGCTGCAGAACTCAGGACAGAGGCAATAAAATATAAAAAAAAAATACAGGAGTTAAAAATCCTACTGCAAGAATATTAACTGTAATAAAAGAGAAGACATTAAAACCAGCAGCTAGTTAGGTGCCAGGACATAATAGAACCCATAAGGGCAGGCAAAGAATGATGCTAAGTTAGGAAGAAAGAGTCTGTTTTCAGAGAACTTCCTGACAGACACCACAACAAAGCAACATGAATGGTGACTGTGTGGTCCCTTTCTCGTAAATAAATCAGGCGTCAAAGGTTGATCTGCAGTTAATAAGAGGCCTAAGCCTTCTCCAAGGATTTGTAGTATTCTGTCAGCACAGTCCAAGCCTTGGGAGCCATGAAGCCTTCCGGAGGGTTCTGTCCTTCCCGAGCCAGCCTGCGCATGCGGGTCCCCGATATAAAATCAAAGTCTTCATGGCTGAGAGAGTAGGGGTGGAGGAAAAGGGAGGGAAAAAAGAACATCCTTTAAAAGCAGGCAAATTTGCTCATATTCCTTCTACTTCCTTGATGCTTTATACATTTTTTCTTGGGAGTATAACGCTGTATAGCAGCTGTCATTTCAAGGCCAGCAATGCCAGTAAGTCTCAGGAATATACATCCTCTACAATATCCACCTTTGGTAACTCTCAAAGTTTTAGCAGCATGGTGCAACTGAACCCCTGTGGACTGAATTCAGTCTGTGCTTCCATTGAGCCTGGCTTGCTCTCTGTGAGGAAACAAACTCCCGTTGAAGGAGAACCATCTACTCTTCCTACTGTCCGAGCCCTCTGCCAAGGCAACAGCAGCCATCCTGATTTACACCTTGTCTTGCCAGGGCAGGAGACCAGCCTGATGAGCTGGCTGAATGTTCCTGTGCTGCTTCAAGGAGGTTGTTTCAGTGCCACTAGAGAATGTGTAAAAAAAATTTGTATAACATCTTAGTGAAGGACTGTTTGGAAAACAAAGAAAGTAAAACCCTCAGAATCTAGAGGCAAGCTTCTCAGCTGTGCCTTTGCAAGACACTGAGCACACATACATATATTTATGTATATCAATAACCTGGCATATACAATTCAAAATAAAGAGAAAAGCAATGGAATAATAAAAATACCTTCCCCTAAAGATACCTTTCCCCTAAAAAACAAAATTCAGTTGGAGAAATGCAGAACTAAACACAGATCAGGATTGTTTACCATTGTTAACATAAGATTTTAAATTATTAACTTCTCAGGTATACGGTCATAAGCAGCAAACGCTCCACAAATTAAATTACTCCTTACAGGACTGAAACAGTAAAAGCAAGACAAGAATGCCAGAGTTCTATCAAATGCTCCAAGGGAAAAAAATATGTATTTCTACATTAAATATGCAATTTTAGTTATGCCATTCACTCAATTTGCAACACGTATGCATTACTCATTCTTTACTTGTCTGTTTGAAATAAAAACCAAGTATTGGTCTCAGATGTACATGCCTTAGACAGAGACAGGAGCCAAGTGTGCACATCAGAGGGCAGAACTTGGCTCTAAGTGCTGGTCTATGCTCAGTAGGGTATGGAAGTTAGCAAGATGCAGAAAGCATTCCACAGCTCCCTTTCACAATAACACCAGCCCCATAACTTTTTGATTTGGGCTGTATACATTTACACACCAGCACTGTCATACATGCTCTTTTCTTGTTGCTCTAAATTTGGGACTGTGGGTTCCTGAAGTGTCACAAGACAAAAAAACCCTACTGTGCTTTAGCTCTGCAAAATATAAATTACATAAAAATGAAAATTTAAACTTGGTGTAGCTCCATCAGAAAAAAAGTTGGCACTGCTATTTATAACATCTCAAAATTTTATTCTGTAGCAGATACAGGTCTGCTGTTCACTAATACTGCCTTGAAGGTAACTTGAGTGCTTTGTAAAGAACTACTTATATAAAATATGTGGGAAAATTATAAATCTGGTTAATTCTGTCAAAAAATACTAAGTCTTCCAATGATCAGGAAGAGAAGAGTAAAGCAAGTCCTATGAAGTTTCTCCATGTGTGTTTTCTCCACACGAAAGCTGGAGCATTAAAAAAAAAAAAAAAGGTTCTTTATTCCCCTTTGTTTCTTAAGTTTCCAGAAAAGCACTCAATTTTGCCCCATACCCTGCAAGTGAAAGAATGCTACCAAACTACTACATTTAGATATGCCACAGAAGTTTGCTTCAATAACACACACTCCTCCTTTAGCTGCTTCTTATCCCTAGTTGCACAAAAATCAGGTAAGAAGCAGAGATACCAAGGAAGAGAAACATGAAGCTAAGGAGATCTGCAGAAACTGTAAAAAAATTAAAGAAAAAAAAGTGAGTGAGCATCATATCAGAAATACAGTACATTCAGCATGGCATAATATTTCTAGAAATGTTTCCAAGATACTATTAAAAATTAAAAATGTACTAATGATGTCCTCACATCATACTGAAGGTCTATTTTGAAAGGGTTTTTCTTTTAAAAAAATTATTTTAATTAGTAATTGCTAAAGTAACACAAATGGAGCCTTGGCAATATATACACAACAAGACAGTATTTTTTGCCTTTTTTAAAAATTACTGCATTTACAAATGTAAATAAAATTTCAGAAACTGAGATTCCTGCCAAGGAGAAAAACCTTATCAGTACTTTGGCCACCGCGGCGTGATGTGACCCACAAGCATTTTGAAATAAAACATATCAATATGAGTAATTTGCGTTAGCAGAAAGAGATAGTAAAAGGAGTCACCACGAAATTTCGTTCAGAGTGAATTTTGAGGACATTAAGAGTTACTCTATATAAGGTGGATTTGAGTGGAACATGAGAGGGGGAAACATTTGACCCTTAAAGATGCTATAAAAAAGTCACTCAAATTCCATTCTTGATAGACTTGAAATGACCCTCAATGAAACTTAATATAAACCTTTTCTGAGTATGGCACTTAAGGACCTTTGAAAATTTTACTCAGTAGCTGCTGGAATCAGCTTTCTTTTAGTCACACTGGATGCTACTAAATACTTGTAAAATTGACTTGACCTTCTACTGCCAATTGAATTTGACTGGTACTAACACAATACTTTGTGCCACTGCAATTAAAAGTCTCCAAAAAGAAAGAGGAAAATAAGTCAGAAATATAACCACAACAAAAATTTGTCAACAGAAAAACAGTGCTGGAACATTTCACACTGAGGACTGGTATTTTCTCTGTGGCATAGCATCCTATAACTCTACTACGCTCACAGTGTGGAAAAAACCATACCTACACACACTGTGAAATTTTCTTACTTATGTAGGACAGGGATTTCAGAGACCTTCAGAGACCTTTTGTCCTGTGACAAAACAAGGACATCATTAGTTTGCAAGGAGGAAGTGACTGCCACAGGCCTACAGGAAAGCTCCTGTGCCAGACCTCTGAGGTGTCAATACAGTGCATTAATACAGTAACTGGAGAGAACATTTCTTCTGCTTTGGTATTCCATACAAATTTAATCTAACGATAGACCACATTACATAGTAGATTTTTCATCTGGGAGCACTAAAAATTAGTCATAATCTTGGGAACCCTGACCTCCTCTTAGGTATTAAGCACTGTGCAAATGATCTTCTAGGAATTCCCATTCTCTGTGGAGAATGTCTGGTGCTCTCAAGGTCTTAAAGAATTACTCTTAAACACATGACTCATAATAAAAGTACAGACCATTCATTCACAGTTTCACTTTTTTTTTTTGGCAAATAGAGCAATAGGGAAATAAAATAAGAACATAGTCATGTTATTCACCCTGGTCTGTCTTCAAAACAACCGTGATGTTCTACTCAGCTAGCAGACTTCAGACTAATTTCTGGGACAATTCAGTCTCCTTATCTGGGGTCCAATTCTAACCTTACACCCTTTCTAGAAAGACCTTCTCTGAATTTAAACTTGCCTTTGCAGCACCAAGTCATGACTTACACCATAACTCTTACAGGAAGTCTACACTGTGCCTTGGGAATGAATGTCCCATTATGCTGAACGAACCAGCTAGTGCCAGCTAGGTTCAAATCCCAACCAGCCATGAACAAACTGTTTGTGAAGTTAGAACACAATATTGTGATTAATATCAACATATGCAAAGCAAAGCCTTCCCTAATTCCTTTCTAACTGGCAGGAGGGTTTAATTCTCCTGCCCTGATGGAGAGTTTCAGTGTATCCTACATTATGTACTAATGGTAATTGGAAAGCCATATTTCACATAACTAAAGGAGAACAGTCAAGTGTGTTTATTGCAGCTTCTTAAGCCACTTTAAAAAACAAATTTGAGAACAGTATGTACTTAGTTGGAGCAGCTCTCCTATAAGTAGGATTTTATAGTATTAAAGCAGTAATGGCAACCATATTAAAGGTCCCAGGAAAAAAAATAAAGTTTAAATCTCTCTTCTTCACAGATATCCATGCTTCGTTTACATTTTATATGCTAGCATGAACAATGTGCTTCAGTCACCTTACTTATGGGTTTATTTTAGCTAAAATGTTCTCTTTGGTTTTCTTTCAGGAAAAAAAAAAAAGAAAAAGTAATTTAATTCCAGACACTGTTGTGGCTTTTTTAATTGTCAGACTAATTTCCTTTCATAATTGAGTTTTTTCTCAGCAGCACTCTGTGGCTGCATTTTATAGGACTGATCTTCCATAAAGAATTGGGAATCTCTGCTCACAAAACCAGCTTCTATTATTAAGCCACTAATCCCAAATTACACTTGTCTGTGGTAACTGTTTGTGAGGCCTTTTTGGCTGAAGAAGAACACTAACTGATTTTCTGAAGGAATTTCAGCATTGGGCAAGCTTTTTTTGGGGGGAAGGGGGATGGGTAGTGGTGTTATTTGTTGGTTTCTTGGTTCTTTGGTTATTTTCTTTACACGTCACTCTACCAACCGTTTACAGGTCAGCCATTCGTTTTTAATTACTCCATTATAACTAGAGTTCTTACTATAAACTTTTCCAAAACACATTTGGATATATTCAATTATAGATCAAAATTTTTATGAAATCTAGAAGTGCAAAAACTTTGATAAGGACTTAAACAATATTCATGTTAGCTTTTATATGCATTAATTCAGAATTCTATGCAAGTGGAAACGCTCAAGCTTCCCACACAGAAACTTAGATTAGGCTTTCTATCTGACTTGAGCAACAGCAAAAATGGCAATTTTATTTTTATGATCCTCATTTTGACCAAAGGGAAAAGAAAATGAAATTAGCTTTACCTGTGCTGCTATACATAATTTCAAATGCATTCCTCAAATCACTCTCCTAGATCTAAGTTTCAGACAAATTGTTTTTCAAAACATAAGTTTCAAAAGTTCACTTTCATGAGGTGCTAAACCTAGTTCTAAGATGTCCAAGAAACAAATTTAAAATTGTGTTGGCCTCATGAGGTAAAGCATGAATATAATTCCAAGTCATTGGTTGTTCATATGTCTTAATATTCTAAAGGGTAACTTTGTTTAAACAATTTATACATGTTAAGCTTTGTGCATCGCTTTGCAACTACAGTTGTTGTGCAGCTGTTATAAAAGCTTTCAGGTCAGGCTTTTCGTCAGGTTTTCCTTACCCCCTTTCCTCACAGACAATGCTCTGTTATGCTGAATGCAACCAGGATATTTCTGCCTTTCCTTACTGACAGGGGCCAAGTGACTTCAGCTCCCACACAGCACCACAGCAGCTCAGCACTGTTAGCCAGCAGCACAAGGTCCTGACACACCAGGTCAGCATCTCCAGACTGGTCCCAAGCAGCCACTGGGTCAGCTGAAATGCCAAGGGCAGCACATGTTCTGGAGGGTACTAACAGAAGTGAGAAACAAACTGACCTTCTATACCAACTCCACTAAACTGTGCTTTGTGTCACCTTTGGGAGTGGAAGACCTTAAGCACAACAACCTCTTGGAATCACAGGCAGCACACCAGAGAAGTGAGGGCCTTTGGCACTAATTTGGAGGCAGGGTCAGTGTAGGCTTTTTGGTGCTTCCCAGGCTTGCCAGCAAGGTCATGAGCAGCTCAGGCACAGCCAAGTCTCACACAGCACCTTACTGGAGGCAGGTGACCACTAGCAACCCAGCCTCTGAACACCCATCCCCACAGGCATACAAGGAATGCTGTCAGCAAGTGTTACAACTTTCTCACAGAAGCTGAGCAAAGCAACTCTCTGCCACTGCTAATTCTGCAGCCACAGCTTTTCAGACATCCTTCTGACAGCTGGACCAAGCTTTTGGTAACCTCTCACCATGAGCCAAAGATTCATCTACCACCATCCTCATGTTAGGACTTTGTCAGAAGCCAAAAGGTATCTCACTAATAGCAGCAAAGAGCCCAACTGCAATAACCTCTGCATGTCTCTGCTGCCAAGCCAGATGTGGGTGCGACTCTACCAAAGGCAGCAGATGGGGTCTACTACGGTTTCTCACAAGTACCTTCCCAAACAGAGGAGTCCAGGAAGCCTGAAAGAACAGAAGAGATGATCACACAGGGAAAGAATAACTACACCCAGCAGCTAAGATATGTGGCCAGCTATACTCAGTCCAAGGGAAACCCCCTTGTCATAAGCTTCCACGCATTCATTAGCGATGTAAATTCTGGAATTGTCTAGTTGGCTTTCAAGAGTCCAAGCCTCAAGAAACTAAGAAAGGTGCAAGAGATACCAAATTACCCTTTTCTGATACAAGTCACATCAATGCTTCTAAGCATACAACCCTCCTTCCCACATTTATTTTTACGCTGTGTTTTTCACCAAGTGAGCAAAGATTTCCACAAACATCACCATTTCACATCCAAGGGTCTTCCACCAGTACTGATCATGTCATAATTCCAAGCAATCCGTTCTCCCCTGCCATCTCCTTGCAGAGTGGAACACCACATGGTCCAGGAGTCTGCCACATTTTCAGCATTACACAGACTATGTTGAAAGGCAGCCAGCTGCACCCACCCAGGCTCTAACTCTGTCTGGAGCCTACCACAGTGCTCCGTCTGGCAGGCAGGAGCAGGGACGGGAGCCTGCACGTGTCTGCATTGCCATCTAGAGGATTGCTGCCACACACCAGCCCATCTACAAACAGTATCCAGGGCAAATGGGCTTACATCCTGACAGCACCAGGGCAGAACTGCACATTAGTGGCAGTATGGCCTTTTTTCCATGACAGTTATAGAACCATGGAAAAAAGTGCCCCAAACCAAGGTTTCATAGACACAGTGAAAAGATAAAAGTGTGCACATGATGCAGTCTATGGCAGGAGGTAAAATCTGCTCCCACTGGTTTTCATAAAAAAATCTCCAAGAGTTGTTTGGGTTTTTTTTTTAAATCATTTGCTATGGCTAATGACAGAGGTATAATTTTACTAATTTTACTTGATTCAAGTCACATCTATCCTTCTAAGAGTACAGCATTGATGATCAGAGAATCAGTATTCTGAATTTTGGCCTGTCATGTTGCTACTTGCTTACTATTCTAATTAATAAGAATTGACACCAATAAAACTACTTCACTTTGATCTTTCTGTACAGAAGCATGACCAGCAGGTCCAGGAAGGTGATTCTTCCCCTTTACCCCACTCTTGCGACAGCCCACCTGGAGTACTGCATCCAGACCTAGGGATCTTAACATGGAAAGTCCATGAATCTGATGGAGTAAGTCCAGAGGAGGGCAAAAATTTGATTAGAGAGCTGGAGCACCTCTCCTCTGCAGACAAGCTGAGTGCTGCAGTTGTTTAGTCTGTAGAAGAGAAGGCTCCAAGGAGACCATATAGTACCTTCACATTCCTAAAGAAAGTTATAAGAGAGCTGGAGAGGAACTTTTTGCAAGGGCCTGTAGTGATAGGAGAAGGAGGAATGACTTCAAACTGAAAGAATGTAGGTTTAGATTAGATATTAGGAAGTAACTCATTCCTGTGAAGCTGGTGAGGTTGTCCAGAGAACTTTACGTTTCAGTACCAACTTCAACATCAGTTTGAAGTAAAACAAAAGTACATTTCAAAAATCTGAATAAAGAAGGTTAAATTTAAATGACAAGTCATCTTCCCACTATCATTCCTTGTCATCAGAGCAACACATATTCTATGTTTTGGACACTGCTATCCCACACAAGGGGAAAATAACATTGAAATATGCATACAGAAGGTGAAATGAACTGTTCTGTAATTGGATTTTTTTTAAAAAACAACAAAAACATCTGAAAACCCTGGGACACAGAATATTCTTAGGGCATCATTGTGCTTTATTACTAATAGAGAAACTAAATAGCTATTTGTCACCCCATCTTGTCCACTTTCTTTTCCATGCTGCACACTCTCCCTGCATCTCTTCCCTCCTATCTGATGCACACCTGACACCTGAGAAGTGTCTTATTTAGAAAGACAAAGCCGCAGAAAGCTAATCTTACCATTATAATAAATAATAATCTTTCTCTGGATTTACCAATCTGTGCCATTATGCTCCAGAATCAGAGAAACCCCAGTACCTGGGGAGCCTTCACGTGGCAGCTAAAGTTAGATCAGGTAGTTGCACTGTGAATCAAATAATGATGAATTCAAGCTACATTTGTTCTAAAAGCTACATTGATCTAAAACCCATCTAAACACTGCCCTATTTGAGCAACATGAATTTAATTATAAACTTTTTTTTAATCTGGTCAGGGGTAAGAGGCACCTATTGCTCAAAATTTTCTTAAAATGAAAATATAACTTACTGATCAGAGTCATAATAATCCATGCACTTCTTTTTTTTATTATAGGCTGCAACCCTGAAGGGTACAATTTCCAGTGCTCGGAGGCCTGGAGCCATTGTGAGCACTTTGGCACCATGGGTTGGTTCATACAGATCTTTCCCAGTGTCAGGGTGTGGCATCCCTGCTGGATCTCGCCCTACAATGTAGAAGTTAGCTCCTGCAACCATCCGGGATCTGCAGTGCCACTGAACCTACAACAGAGACAGGAAAAACAATTAACAGAAGAAAAGGCTCCAAAACTTCAGCTCTCTTCAGCAAATGGGCATGCACTCTGTAATGCTAGTTTTCTTTAATCAGATGTGACTTCTATGGAGCCACAACATAATAAATAACCAGTAAAGTTGATCACCATCAAACTTACAGCTAAAACATACTATCCCCTTTTTATCTGCACAGCAGGTACTCAGAAAGTTACTTCAGCACCATCTACACACTCAGACAGAAAAACCACCCATGGTCAGCATTTTCAACTTGTACATGTGGCAAGGATGTTGTTCAAGGCAGAACTAAGACTTTCTTTGCATGAACATTAAAACCCAAAGGACACATAAACCAGGTACACACTGCACATGAATGCTTGTAATAGCTTAACTTTCCTAGGCAGGTGAACTTATGGCATTTTAATACAGCTTTTCCTTATAGAACTGCTTGTTTTCTTCCAAGGCACTTGTCAGGAATGTTAAAAATACAAAAAATGCTAAACTGATAGTTATTAAACTAGGATTTTTAAAGACTGGAAGGACACATACACCCTGTAAATAACCATATTACCAGCTGCTTGCTCTTCTGTAAAACACTTGTGCTACAGAAACAGATCTAGTACCAATAACTTTTAAATAACCTATGGGAAATTATTAAAGAATGAATCTTTCTTATTACTTCAATAAACATTACTGCCAGGCTGTACTCTGAGGTCACTGGAACTGAACTCATAGGTCATAGGAGGAGAAAAATAGGTAAGGAGAAAAATTATATCCTGTTCAGAATAGGGAATGTGGATTTTGTTCCTCCTCACACATAAAAGAATGAGGTAGAAGATTTCTGTTAATTCTCACAAAAGGCCTATGGAGAACAGCAGAAGATTCGCCACATGAACTCACTCACATGCCTCAGCTAGATCTGGACTGCAGTTTTTTCTCTGCACTGAAAGGCAGTGAAAGCTCTGTTTGATCAGTCAACTGGCCAGCAGAAAATAAGTGGCATCTGTCTAATTTAACTTCACTAGTAAGATCTCCTATCTATGAAAAAAGCTACCCCAGAGTTAACCTCAGAGCCTGGTCAGAATTTGAACTTCCTGTGAGTCAAGGTGGAGGCCAGCAAGGAGGGAAAAAAAAAAAAAAAAAGGGGGGGGAATGAGATGGAGGATCAATATCCCCTCAAGGAATTGTCCTCAACTGAGAACATTTATTCTTTCTGCTGCCTCCCACAAACCTCTAGGGACTCCAACCCAAGACCTGGCTCCTAAATGAAGTGTTGCCAAAGAATTATTTCATACAAAAGCCTCAAAACAATTCTCTCAGAATTAAGTTTGCCAAAAAATAATCAGACTGCTTTTTTCTTAATATGTGAATGCCCCTCCAAACATACAAACTTCTTGTTTAACAATCATAAAACTTAAGTATTTTTAACATTCAGGACAATCACTTGGTATGTTAACACATCTTATAATTCCTTCTGAAAAAGACTGTAAAAAAAGGAGGCCGGATGAAATTATCATATCCTTGTAACTGTAAAGAAAGGAATCTATAAACACAGTATTTTCAAAATTCTCCAGTATAGAAGTTTCTTCAGAAGATAATGTTTTGGTTGGTGAAAGAGACTTGATAATCTACTTTCACAAGCAAAATTAGTCTCCTCCCTCCCTCCCTCTATTAAAACAACACAACACACAAACACCAGACATCACACAAAATATTTTAGTGCGCTATCAAAAGGGTTTTGTTTCACTTGAAACTCCGGATGTATTTACCTCAGTTGGTCCTGCATACATCATGGGGGAAGGGAATATAGCTACCACTGTTGTTTCTGGATTCAGGATTCCCTCCTCCAGTACTGCAGCATGCTGCTTCATGCGCCACATCAGAGGAACATCATCCTCCTTTGTCCAGCCTCCAAGGGGGTGCAAGAGCAAAACCGGGCGCCGGTAGCCACGCTCCAGAAGCTGCTTGTGAGTGTCCTGCATTAAAAGAGCATGCCCATTGTGCACAGGGTTGCGTAACTGGAAGGCAAAGACAGCATCTGTGGAGGAAAAAAAAAAGACAAAAGATATCAGGAAAGTTATTTTATCAGGAGTCGTACAGCCACAGAAAAATCTTCAGTACATGGTTTGCTCTCAGTTCTATTAAACAAGTGCAATAGCAGTGCTCACAGGTCATTAAAGAATTATCAATTATTACAAAATCACTGTAATTAGTAAGCAAAACTAATAAAAAACAACCATACAAAAATAAATCAACTTCCTTAACTTCTGAATTTTCTGCAGAATTACTCTGGTTTCTCCAAGAGCTATAACCATCTATTTGGATTTTTCACTTGCATAAGGGTATTCTATTCTAATAAGAAATAAAACTATGCTACTATCTTGAAGTCTAACTATATCATCAAGAGAACAAATGGATCTGTTTGAAACAAAACTAAAAAAAGGCGATTTAATGTTCCTTACTATGTTTCCTTCACCTTAGTTTAGAAGATTTTAAGCAGTAAGAACAAAGCAAGACTAACTGCTATTCCAGAGTATTACAAACCCTTCAATGAAAAGCCCTGCCACAACCAGGATTTCTCTTTCCCACAACTTCAGATGAACTAAAGGGCCCTGCAAGACAGCAAAACCACTGTAACAAGAGATTTTCCAATATGGAACCAATGAAACCTAGAGTACAGGCATCTTTCAGATCTCAAATATGTGTTTGTTTAGGGATTAGCCAAAAGACTGATATTGCAGACCTACAGCTCCTACTCAGAACCTACCAACCACACAGAACAATGGCAGGAGCTCAGAACCAGTTGTGCTTTGCATTTTCAATGTTAATCTCTCTCCTCACATTTAGAAGTACAGCTCCTGCCAGTCATTGCCACAGTGAAAGCAGCGTGTTGTTCTCTGCCTTATGACATTCCTCAGCCTCTTACTTATCTGCCTAACACAACTACTTTTGTGAAAAAAACTGTTTTATTTCTTGTGCTGGAAAGAAACTTGGCACCAGTCTACCTGCACTACTTTCATAAGCCTTGTAACCCAGAAGCAGCATGGAACAGACTTAAAAATAGCAGAGCATGAAAGCACAGCATTCAACCATACCTCTGTAGTTTTGGCCAAACACGATCTTTAAATCACAACTTACCACATTTTAACATTATCTTTTCTTGCATTACTAACATGTCTACACTGCATGGAAAGATAAAGTTCAGCACCTCAGGCATTACCAGCTTCTGTTATGTATTTAGGCAATGCAATTCCTGAGATCATAAAAATTATTTCTATTAAAAGCAAAGAATACCACCCACCAGAGCATTCAAAATTTTCATCCTTGAAACAATGCCAGCCACAGTGATGGCAGCAGACATTTGGATAAGACTCTGCAGGAAGAAAGACAGCAAAAAAAAATTATTCACCGGCATTCATTTCCTTGAATTTCTGCCTTAGTTCAGCTGGAGTGAGGCGGTATTGATCAAGTCCATCATTCCAATAAATACGATCAAGGACCTGTAGATCTCCACCGACAAGCCAGTTCCCTTGCTCCATAACCATCTAAGAAATGAAAGAAAAATCCACGTCAGGATTAGTTATCAGCTTCTCCTGAGTATCGAGAGCATAGCAATGGGGACACATCTTTACCAAGGATTGTGTTCCAGGTTAATTTTATTTGACAGTTGGAAGTCAAGCATCAGTGTTAAAAAAATGGAAAAAATTCACTGGAGCATAGTGCAGACATGTTATACCATGATGGAGGAGAGATGAACAAACCTTCAGTAGGCCTTTCTTTCAAAACTGAGATAATATAAAGAAATGCAAATAGCCGATATTATTAGCCAACACTGCATGACAAACAAAGATAGTGTCTCAAAAGCCTTGTCTATTACACTTTATTTAGCATATATTAGCATATATTTTTATTAGTACGTATTTTAAAATTTAATTACAATATAGCAATACAACGAAGTTGCACACTTTATAGCTATTGGTCAAAGCAAATGTTATTGCAGCATTTTTACTCTGTAATTTACAAGATTTACAATGCTGCAATACAAGATATTGCAGCATTTCAACTCTGTAGTTTACGAGATTCTAGTCAGGAATAAAGTAACAAACAAAACAATTCTGATTAACTACTCACCCACTTGAATCTACAAATAAAATCAGAATCTTTGAAGTGGAACAGCTTTTGGACTTGTTTCATGGTAGCAGTTTACCCAAGTAACAGATGTTAGACAGTCACTACTTATTTTATATCTTTAAATATCACCCCACGCTTTATCAAAAAATAATTATGGCAAGCTTCCTAACATACTCTACAAAGAGCCATAGACATTACTGTGAAATTTTTAATTTCTAAGAATGCATTTTGTTTTGAAGATGAAATCACAAAAAACTTTCAAGTTTCATACACATTTCTGATAACTTTTTTAGCCTTATGTAACTTAGAAATGACAATAAACCTTGATATAACAGAAGATACCACATACTAAACCTAAAAGCCAAGATGTGAAAATTAGGTGTGAATTTTTCAATTTATTTTTCCTTTGACCTGCTGGAATTAAATGATGCCACAGTATCCATTCCATTCCTGAAGAAAATGCCAGACTTTGACATCTTACCAAGGTGGAGGGAAGGTGTGATAATCATACGAAGATGAAAAAACTCTGCACTACACAATCTCTCAGGTACCCAAATATTTCTGATTAAGAACAGCCACCAAATTCATGTGCTGTCGTGCTACTGCTATACACCTCAGTACAGGCAAAAGAATATAGTTCCTTATTTTCTACATAAGAAGTCATCTAAATTTTGTCTGCATGAGATTTGCTTAGAATTTACTGGATCTGTGTTAAGCTTTCAATAAAGGGATAATCTTATTTTCAGCATCATAGAACACATCAAGGGCTTTAAAAATCCTCTGTTAGTCATACAGATTATTTTACAACATTTCAAAGGCTTCCCTTTTCAAGAGCAAGCTCATAATTTGAAGTTTGTTTGATTTATCTTTATCTAATTTTATGTCATACCTGTAAACAAAAATACCTCAGAGACAAATGCGGAAATAAACATGTTTTGACTCTGCAGAGCTAAGATGTAACATTTACATCAGCTTGCATAAGCCAATACAGCATTGTGGTGAGTATGTTACAATTAGAACATTGCAGTATGACATACACATAAGGCCAAGATAATAAAACATAACCAACACAATGGATGGGAAATTACTCCCCAGAGAGTGAAATGATGAACTCTCCAGGAACAGGGCCTGTTTGAAAAACATCTAAAGCAGGCAGGTCTCACGTGCACCACATGCAGGCAGAAAAGAAGTTTTCTATCCTTCACAATGCATATATCCACTGATTAAGGAGCTTTGATGATCCATCTGGTGACAGAGGGATGTGTTTTTCTAGGCACATTGGAGGGCAAAGTTCTCTTTTCTGTAGCACAGATTCTACAGTACATTCTAAATTCATTTCATGTGTACATACTGACATTGGATTTTCACACTAAGTACAGACTATTCAACAGCTGCACAGAAAAAAATTACCTTTATGTCTGCTCAGATATTTTAACTAATTTTCAAAGTAGTTTTTTTATCAAAGTACATCAATTATAGACATGCCATTCACTAAATTTGCAGCTCCACAACAGTACAGCTAATGGGACTAGATTTTCAACTTTGAAACACACACCTTGATATAGGGATGTTCCTTGCATGTGGTTCCCCACTGCCTAGCACAGCGTTCCTCTTTCCTGTGCTCATAGAATTCGGGATTACGGAGAATGGCAACGCGGCGACCTTCATACACCAGTGCAATTGCTGTGCACCCGTCGAGCCTTTCTTTGTCTTCTTGAGTTGCTGTTAGCACTATAGGCACTGACAGATTAATAACTCCCCCTGCAGAGGGAATCAAAAAAGCCCTTTATCCTTAGTAACAGTCATCAATGTTATGAACACCTACCTAATTAACAGGTTACTTGTAAGGCTGTAAGTGTATTACATGACAGGTAGTTGAAATACTTATTTTAACAGGGATTAAACATTTTTTAGAATGAACTCATACTTCCATAAGATACACATGCTATAAAATTGAGCAAATACTGAGGTTTGAGAAAGAGTCAACATAGTAGTGAAAATACAGCACAAGTACAATACACAGCAAGTACTTAGAGCTGCACAAAAATATCTAAACTGCAAGGATACTACTTTTTGGAATGTCAAATTAATACCCTTCTTAAGAATCTATATAGAAAGTAGAAATACACAAATAACATTTTAAAATAGATCATTTGAAATATCAGACAAGGTTGCTGCTGGAGTGGATAATTAGTAAAAAGGAAATTATATTCTTAGTAGCCATACTTTTGGCCCCAAAGAACAAAAACAATGCAATAGGAGTAGAAAGATACACCCAAGCAATTAACACACATAACTGAACTATTTCAAAAGGTGACTTTTGTTGTATACTTAAAAATTATTCAGATTCAAGCATTTACCTTCCAGAAAAAACTGCTGACTCAGGCAAATATTTGCATAGTTTGTTCAGCTGAAAGTTTACCAGCTACTTCACTTCTAAAACTAAGCCAATGTAGCTGAATTTTAAGGTTATGTGTGGTCCTCCTTTTTAAGCACCTACTTCACTGCCAGATGCTGAAATCTTGTTTTTCTTTTCTGGAAGAATGAGATTTGAGAAACCCAGCGGAGTAAATATTGTAAGTCTTCTACAAAGGCTTGGGTTCTAAACTTTTGTGTGGTCTCCAGGAGAAAAGTCATGGACCCTTTAAAGTTAATGGAGGTTTTGGCATTTGCCAAGACTCTAAAATAAGACTAGTTTTGCTATTATTTAAGCAATATCTTTTTTATTAGGAAATTAAATTTCTTAGGGAATTATAAAGTGGATGAAAATTTTAAGAGAAAAATAAATCCCCTTCTTTCTTAATGTAAAATGTATAATGCATGCTGTGCATCTCCTCCTAAGTTCAGTCTTGGTGCCCAGAGTTATTTTCAAAGCAACTAGGCCATAAAATTGAATTTGGCAGCAGTCACAGAGAGTGGTCTGACACCCCAAAATGGATAATTTAAAGAAAAAACTTACTTTGCAGACAAGTAAATAAATATTTTAAAGTATGAAGAGATGTCAAACCTGTTGATTATTTTGTCCATGACCAGCAAATAAATACATAATATCTCCTACATATTTCTTCAGCAACAAATGAAACAGAGGCAAGGCAGTGAAGCAAGTCTATTGAATCACAGATGAGCACAGTGTCAGGATGAGACTTTTCCAGACAATTTAATCTTTCAAGAGAGACTATCAGCACAGTGATCTCCACAGCTCAGAAGTCAGTCAGTATGAACACTGCTTTTAAAGCTCAAAGGATGAGATGCATTGCAGGTACTAAACTATTTCCCTCTCTTCAGAATCAAAGCCCTGCAAAATGACTGCTGCTCTAAGACCCAGAACTAACATCCCAAGCAAGGAGGAAACTCTGAGGATATTGCTTTGACCTAACTGTTGCTACTGCTGCAAGTAGCAAAGCAGTTTTAAGGCAATCATATTTATCTAAGAAGATTTACACATGTAAGTGCTGTAGTAGATCTCTAGAAAGAGGAAATCAGTAGCAGGACATCTACAGAAACAATGACTTTATCCAAGCTTAGGACTCAAATAGTTTCCATCAAAAAGTTGCTATTTTTCATTACTTGCATTTTTTTGTAGCACAGATGAGATGCTCAAAACAGCAAAAGAAGTTTAAAAAACTGTTATATTGTTATATCTGAAACACTCACTTATACAAGGCTGTAAATTACTTATAAAAATCCTGATTTACTGAAAATTACAGGACAGGACTATGACCTACAGGCTATTTTAGCAGCTGAATGCATTGCATGCAATCTGCAGAGGACTTTTCACCTGGATGGATGTACAGAAGCAAATGAAATGAGAACAAAACTAGCAGCCCAAAATTATACTGCAAAGTAACAGGATGGCATTATACTGTATAGGATAGCACCTAGACAAAAGCAAATTAAGAAATATAACGATGACAGATGTCTGTATCACAGAATTAAGAGAAAGATGACTTTTTTTGTTCTGCTATTTGGTCTCTATCAAGACAAGAGTGACGCAAAAGGAAGCACGAATATAGGAAAAAGGCTGGAGTAAAACAGCCTTTAAAGAGGAATAAATGAAAAATTACAGAGGATCACAATCAAACTCCAAAATCTGAGGATGTTATGACTTACTATTTTCACAAAGTTCTTAGCCAAATGGTAATGCAAAATAAAATTTACTCATTTAAATCATCCCAGGAAATTACTAAATCTTAGTAATTCAATTACATGTGATAATTGTTCATACTCAGACCGATTTCACACTTGCAACAGCTCCAGCACTCAAGTCAGTTTGTTGTCCTTTTCTTCATTACTAATATCAAACAAATCCTTTGGTCACAGAACTAAACAACAATTAAACTGCAATTCCAAATCCTAAGATCAATTTCTTCAAAACTAATTAGAAGTGTGCATTTTAGAATTAAATGTTTTTCAGAAATTGTAAAGGCAAAAAGACAAAATATTCAAATTCTAACATGATGGTAGGTGTAAAAAGAATAAAACCATCACATTTAAAACTGGTTATTATAATATTCTATTCCCTTATCCCAGACTTGATGTTGTGCACAAGCCTGATAATGTGTTACCACACCACCACTAAGAAGCAAAGCATCAAAAATATTTTAGAAGCATGATTAGTTTGCTCGGTTTTACAAATGGTGTGTTTTACCCTACCATCAAGGAGACAGTCAAAGTGAAGGCACTGGAGGTATTCTCTCTCTCTCATAAAGCCATTCAGGGGTGTTGCCCAACCTTCTGCTAGCACTTGTACCCACTGCATATCCACCTTGTAAAGAAATGAAGAGATAGACTTAGAGCAGATAAAAATTGCTGCTTAATTACTGGCATCAGGTATTAATCATAATAGATCATGCTTTAATTCTAAAATGCAGGACAGTACAAATGGAAGATTTCTCAGTGTTACAGGTTTTCATCACAAATAATTCAAAGTTTCTACAAGTAAGGAAAAAAACCCCAACTTGTTCCTCACTGTTCATATTTTTGGCTATTTTCCAGACCCTACACTCAATCAAATGTCCATGTGTTAAAAAAATCAAACCAACAAACACACAACAACAAATTTTATTTGTATATCTTGATAAAGTTCTTCTTAACAAAATCAGAGAATCCCACGTGCCTTTATCTAACAAAACAAGATAACAAAGACGTTAAAAAGCAAAAAAAGAGAAAAAATAATAACAATACATACAATCACCACAAAAAATCAGAATTATGAGTGTAAATACTAAGAGGTTTAATCTTTAAAGAAATGAGAAATAATTTTTTTTCATAAACAATGAGACAATCCAGAAGTAAAATTCTCTCTGGACTAGTACTTATTTCAGTATGAGATATCAGTTTACACAGAATTTCCTTCCTTAGCACTCAGTCACACTATGACTTAGTGTGTGGTCTCCATTATTTCTGCATGTGCATTACTAAGACTTGGTCAAGTTTTTGACAAGGACAGGCTTTGCTTGTGCAAGTCTCTTTTGCAAAGGGCATGACTAATTTTATTACACTGTTTCATTTATACTGAGGCAAGTACAAAACCCAGGTTATTCCCAAGATTACACTGGATACTTTTTTGATATTTAACAGGCCAGTGGTTGTGGGTGGAGAGAGAAATTATTTGTTTTTCTAGATAGGGAGCAATTTAGAATGGGGCCCTACTGAGGTGTAATAATGGTGACCTTAAGTATTTATTCGTCAACAAACAATATATTTTTTACAGAGATATATGTGGAAAAAAATAGTTAAATGTGGTGAAAGGAAGTATCAATATTCATTACTAGTAGAAGACCAAGCAAATTTTAAAATTACTTAGTTCGATGCTTAGTTTGTCACCCCAATCCTCCAAAGTCTACTCACAATACATACTGAACTCTGAGCTTAGTCAGCTCCTAGATCAAATGTTTAGCTTTAAGTTCTAGTAATACCATCAAAAAGCCAGTGGAAAAAACTCATGCACTGTATCTGTGTTTAGGCTTATTAAGAAAAAGAATGAGGTAGAACAAAAACACAGCCAGAAGCAGCTTCATCTAATTGATCTAAGTTGAAAAATAATGCATTTAACCAAAATAAGAATAGGGTCAATCAATTTGTCCCATGCTTTTCTATATTCTCTCTGCTGGAAACCAGAAACACAGCACAAGTATGTTGTAATCAGAAAAAAAAAGCAATAAAGTAGATCTGGTCATATCTTTGCAACTGTTTGAGTTTGGTATGTTTATTAAAACATAAAAAGTTAATGTTGTTCAGCTGAAGGCTACCAACAGGAAGAATCAAGAAGTAGTAATTGATTTCCCCTATATTTCTAGGCAATTACAATTCACAACAAGTGAAAGTAAAGTAAGTAAAGTTAAAAAAAAAAAGTAAACAATCCTTCTAGAAAATATTTCTCATACAAGACATTCCAGGCATGGTTTTGTCCACGGATCTGTGGGGAGTGTGGGAGGAAATCACTGTAGATTTTTTCTCTGGGGTGGGGATAAATTAAGTAACACTATACCAGATATTATTCATAAAAGTATGAAGATCAATTATCTCTGGTAAGTAAACAAAGAAACCACAGACGATGTTGTTTTCATTCAAAGAAAGAGGGAAAAAGTCTGTCAAGGTGTATTCTGTAACCAATGCAGGTATTTCAGCTGCAGAACAGCAACAGATCAAACTGTCCTTCAACTGCAGCAATGAGACACCTGAACACACAATACCTTATTTATTTCCAGGGTTAACAGAGACTCAGCATCAGTTTTGGCCAACTGTAGCTTGTTTTCTGGCACATAAAGCTCTTTCACCTCGTAAGAGGCATCCACTGGTACAATGTCCTGTATAGAAGGAATAAAGAGAACTTAATGTTTGCTCAGAAGGCCTCTTGGGCACTGAACACACATCAAGAAGTAAAATTATAATGTTGCACTACACAGCAGCAAGAGTTTATTAATTATGCAATTTTTACTCATCTAAAAGCCAGCACTGTTCCAAGATTATGATATATTCCTAGTTACTCAAGCCAGCAGACTGCCTAAAATGAAACATTCTGACAAGAGATTTTTTCTAAACATTAAGTAACCCATATAACATTTATCTAGTAAATATTTAACTATTGAATTGAATGAAGTTTTTATGACTTATTAATGCCTACATTATCTACAGTAGAAAGGCAGACTTGATGCTTTTACACATGCTGAAGAAGTAAAAGAAGATTTAGAGACTAAGCATTTATGAATTTAAGTCATTCACTATACAAAACATTAAAAATGGTAACATGAAGGCAAAATACATAAAGGTCCTTCTCTACTGAAAATTAATACAGAAGTACACATAAAAAGTATTTCCTACAGCTAATGCCGTAACACCAGTATTTTCATCTATATACTAACTCTTAGAATATTTAAATGTGATGTCATCTGAGAATATACATGCAATGTACCAAAATCTAGCTCTATAACCAACACATTTTGATTTGAAAAAAAATTCAGTGTATTTAACAAGATATTCTCACTCCACAATTCTTAAGACTTTAAACTTGTTGGAAGAGTTAAACACAAGGATAAAACCATAATTAAAAGAGGAGAGAAGGTCATCATGGTAAAACTGCTAAGAGTCTCCTCCAAGAAAGGATGGTGTAATATGTCAAAACCCAGTCAAACGTTCCAGTGATGTTCAGTACCAAAATATCAGTGAAAAGAGGCTGACTATTCTTTTTAAAACACATTTTTCAGTGTTTGAGAAACCTTTGTAAAATAACGCTTTACTTTTGGAGAAAAAAAGTTCACCCTTGGAGCAATGAACAATAATCAAATCATTTTTACTTTTCCAATATATGCAGGTCAGAGTAAATAGGCTGCTTGTAGAAAACACAAAGTTAGCTCAGGAATTTTAATGCATTTATCAGACCTTAGGCACTACCTCCATGGAAAGTAAAATAAAGGCAGCAGAATGCTGACAAGTGAGAGATAAAATGACTGAGGGAGTAACAAGATGTGATGAGTCTCACTGCCTGTTGCATAATTCATATCCTCAAAGACACATCAAATAAAGACAAATTAAACTAGCACTTAGAAATGGTGTTTTATAAGGAAAAGCTTGCTCCATTACATATCAGACATCATTTTGGAAGCAGATTTTAATACATTGTAATTTAGGCAAAATCAGCCTTTTGTTTTCTCTGCCTCAGCAGCAACACAACAGCCCAGGAGAGCTGCAGCAGACTTCTGTCACAACAACAACACCAGAATCAAATGAAGGTATTGCCTCCTGAAAGCAACGCTATAATGATGGAGTGCACATTATGCTGCTTCACAGATTTCCCTCTGGACCCTGGCTCATTAGCAGGCTAGGATGCCTTAATTTTACAAACCATCAATAGCTTAAAATAAACGTGCCTATTAAAAAGATCTCTTCAAGTATTATCCTGGTTTTAGTGTCCCACTAACAGGCAAAACAAAGGTTTCACAATGCAGTTTCTGTCAACAACCTACTTCATTATACAAATGTAAACAACTTGAAGACAGTTCTAGCAACTGAGTCTGACATTTGGAAAACTTGTAGGATTAGTAAATCAAGACTCCCTTGCACACATGAAAGTGATACTGAAAACATCAACTTAGATTAAAAAAACATCAACAAAACAAGAAAACCAGCAACAAAAGGAATCCATGCATCTTTAAACTGCATGAATTTTAGGAATTAGGAAAATGTTAGGCTAGCAAGCCATCTAGTGACCATTCTAAGACATCAGTTTTACTGAAAGCTTAATTCTACCAAAGGACAAGTTACAGAATATTCCACAATATTTATTCTTTCACAAGTCATTCATATAAAATATGGCAAAATAAAAACAAACAAACAAAAAACTAGATGCATTGTGGAAACGTGCCTCCTCACACTGGGGTGGTGGGTTCTTTGCATGCAGATAGCCTTCTCTGCAGCACAGGCACATGTTTTAATAATGCTGGCAAATGTCTTTATAATGCTGAACAATTCATTTCATAGAATCATAGAAGCATAGAATGGCTGGGGTTGGCAGAGACCTTAAGGATCATCTAGTTCCAACCTCCCTGCCATGGGCAGGGACACCTTCCACTACACCAAGTTGCTCAAAGACCCATCAAACGTGGCCTTCAATACCTCCAGGGACGGGGCAACCATAGGTTCTCTGGACAACCTGTTCCACTGTCTCACCAGGCTCACAGTAATTAATTTCTGCATTATATCTAATCTAAACTATCTTCTGTCAGTTTAAAGCCTTGCCCTCTCCCTAAATGCCCTTATAAAAAGTCGTTCTTCAGCCTTCCTATAAGCCCTCTTGTTCAAACTACAGGAAATCTACAGAATTCATACTCTCAAGACAGCACTTCATTAAGATGGTCTAAAACCAAGACATGCCTGTTTAGCCTTGCCTCAATTTCATTGTCTCCCACTGAACTAAGCAATCACTAAGATATCTTGCCATTCATTATACCGTTATCTTCAAAGAAGAGGAAAAAAAGTGCCAGATGTACCTTAAACAAAGCTGACTGGGCTAGGAGCCATCAGTCAGCACTATGTACCAATACAAGTTTTCAGGGATCATTATCTTGGCACATATGACATAGGTTTCTATAACTATGAATTGTTCTGAGCAGGAGGCACAGAGCCCCTCCAGTCAGGAACTGCCCCACCTTTCAGAGGTAGGACTCCTACACAGCTCTCCTATTTTCTTCAAAAAAAAAAAAAAATCAGAAGGGGATTTGGGCAAAAGTTATCTTATGGTTTGCCCTGTCTTATCTCCTGAGCAACCCTGAGCAAGCAGTCATCCTTGAGGAATTTTCTTGAAAATTTCAGTACAATCTCCCCAAAGCAGTACTTACACAGAGGGTTAAAATTAATTCATACTGGCTGCATGATGAGGTCTTTTGCCTGTATCAACTTCAACACTTGGTGGAGCTCTATTTACTCAAACTACTGTCAACACTCAAAATTTCCAGAACATCCAACTCACATAAAAAAACATGAGTTATTATCTGCAAGAGTATCTCAATTGAAAAGAAATAGTTATCTGGAGTGTTATCCACTGCTCACTGACTAGAGATAAGAATGTAAGGAAATACATTTCTTCTACATGAGGATTAGCTAATTCTGGGGACATGGTTTCAAGAGGATAAAGCCATCTTTTCACTGCCTTCACTTTTAGTGTTGGGTTTGGGAGTTTTTTGTCTGTTTGTTTCGCTTTCCATGTGGTGTTTGTTGGGGGTGAGGTTCTTTAGGTTGGGTAATGAGCCATATCTACTTATCACGCAACAGGAGAAGGCCTGGAGACTTCAAAAGGGATGGTGTAGATTGCAGGCATGAACAAGGAAAGAGATCAACCTTTTCAGAAGCTATGAACCAGAAACTCAACTCAGCCATGTCAAGAAGATCAGCTTTCTCAGTCATTACACAACTGCAGGATTACTTTTACTAGTACAAGAAAAACAGTGGAATACAAGGGAAAGCAGACACAAGCAGCCCCTATTTAAGTGAGATTAAATCACTGTGTAAGTGCACCCCCATATCTTCACATCTGCAATATATATTAATTTGTACACTACAGAGACAATGTAAAAATTCAGACTCCTTAAAATTGGTTGCTAGCATTTTTAAGTCAGCATTCACTGTTGGTTCTGTAACAACTATGACAGCCTCCTCTCCCTTCCAGTTATTGATATAAATTAATTTTCCACTTGTCCAAAACTTATTTCACTTGGAGATCAGTGTTGTGCATTGTTTAAAGAGGAAACACACAACAGGACAAGTTTAAAAGTTTGAATTGAAAGATGCATAAGTCTTTATGTCTCAAAAACTGTCTTTGTTTTTCCCAGCACTTATATTCAGATTGCATGTACAAATATTTGGGAAAAAAGTTTCTAAGATATGTCTCCATTTCTGCTCACCCTCTCTTGAAGAAGTTCCACAACTTGCTGTATACAATCATTCACATCACAGGAATCAGTTTTCAGCACAAGCTCTGGGGCTTCTGGTTTTTCATACTCAGAGTCAATCCCAGTAAAACCTACAGAACATAAAAATATTAGGTGACTTCTTCCAAAAGATGACTTCACTTTAATGCTGTTCACAGACAGTTTTCTATATATAAATGAACATAACAGGCAAGAACATGGAATTTTAGCTTCCTCAATACAGAGATTCTTAGGGAAATCAACAGGTTTTTTCTTTATCAGACTCTTTGCTAATCATAGTATCTGACAGCATCAAACTTCAACATTCTGCAGTACATACATAGCATTTATTTGTTGGTGAAGCTATTTGATTTTTACAGTGAAGTAAGGAATTTCAACATCTTTTACATTAGTTTAGCTAATATACTCATCTCAAGATAGCTGCTTTAAGATTGATGACTGTGTTTATTATAATAGTTGTCACAGACTCTACAAGCTACCAGTGACACTTGTTCTGGCCTACTTTGCTTGCAATCTGCTTTGAAATCGTGGAGATTCTACCACCCATGCATAAACAAGGAGGAAAATCCAAGCCCAAAGGCAAAGAGTATCACCAGTACAAGTCAGATCTGCATCAGGAATATCAGCTGGGCTTCAGCAACTCAACATCTGCATCCTCCACAAGTGCAAATGCAAACATTAGAACTCCAGTTTTTCCCTTTGGATTTAAATACCCTCAAAATTAGTAGTTTAGTTCCCCACCTAAGAAAAATATCAATTACTGCAGTACCCCATGTGATAAAAAAAGGCTGGTACCTTTTCCAAAACCTGTACACTGATGAGATTACTGGAAAAGTGGGAACAGAAGGAAAAGAAAGTATCTCATTGCATTTCCAGAGAAAAAGAAGATAACATTTGCTGACATTCCTTGTGAACTGGCAAGCTGGTTTAACTTTCATCCTTTGTATATCAGATAGGTCATAAGATACAGCCACTGCTACACTCATTTGTATCTTGCTCATGCACTGTTTACTTCACTACCACTTCTTCAGGAACACAATTCCATTACGTGGCTTGTAAAATTAACAAAATATTAGGGACATTCACAAAATAGGCACAGAGAAGGATTCTATACAGAACTGTATCTTTGTATCATGTCAGCTCAAGCTGTTGTACTTTGATTTTGAATAAATATTCATTCAGCTTTATTTATTCCTGGTGTTTGCATGAAATATTCTGTAGTACTAGAAGTATCAAGCAACCAGTCATACAGAATTGTCTTAGATTTCTTGAATTTTATTATCACTTCTGATTAAAGTGAATTCATACAGAACCTGCAAACTCCACCCCCAAAAAGTGATACTTCAAAAAAACTGCTTTGCTACTAAATACAGAGCTATCTATCATCAGCTTCTGCAAACTACAACATAACAGAGCAAAGCAGCACTTGAAACAATACTTGAAATGAATGATTGCATAGCTAAGCTTTTTTTATTGCAGGTTATACTTAAATCTTGACCTGAGGCTGGGAATAGGAAATAATGGTCATGGGCACTAGAATAGAACACAGATTTAAAAGTAAAAGTCAGTATCTTCAGAAGTGTTCTTAATAGTCTTTACAGTAGACAGTGGCCATGTTTTACTTTTTGGAAGAAACTAGCAAGTTTTATTAACGCAGTTCTTTAAAGATTTTAAAAAGAATCAGGCTCTTTTTAACTAGCCAATGGACACACAAAGGAGACAGATAATCCTAAATCATTACATTGTTTCTATTGCAACCTTTAACGTGCTTTTAAAAGCAATAAGGTTGCTTTTAAAAGCTAAAGCAAAAAATTGCAACCTTTAAGGCTTTTTCTGTGTGTGGTTAGCCACTTCCACCCTTTTACTGTCCTACATACTTAACTACTCAGTTCCAGAAGTCAGTGTCAATTTTCTTCTCAGTCATGTCCTGAATCCATGCTCTTTTTAAGGGTGATACACTCAGACATGAGCACATCCACTTAAGTGGAGTCAAATTACACTAATGTTTCACTAATTACATCAATAATTACACTTATGTAGAAAGGATGTGATTACATCTAGGTTCACCTTTAATTTCTCCAGCCCTGGCTTTCTTGTAGAGTCCTTTAACATCCCTCTGCTCACAGACATGCAATGGAGCATCCACAAATACTTCAAAAAAAGGCAAACTTGCCCCTTCATGAATTTGTCTGGCGTTATTACGATCCTGAAAGAAAACAGAAGAAAAATCCTAAAAGGTTGTCCCCACATATTTGTACTGCTTTTGCCTTTGAAGTTCATTTTAAAGAAGATGACAGCTCAATGTAAACAAGCTTTCAAAGTTTGAAAAAAGAAACGTGATTTGATTAACGGATGCCCTGCAAGGTACTTTGGCTTGGATACAGTACATCACATAGTAAAAGCTGACAGGAAGATGTGAGATAATTTATATTAAACTTGATTTGTCAGAAAAGTCCACAACCAAACCCAGCCAATAGAATGCAGGGTTTTCTACATCCATACATATCCATATGTCCCATATGTATACCCATATGTTCTATACCCATACCCAAACATATTCCTCATGTCTGAGGCATAACATCTGCCTAGTTGAGTACAGCAGGGAGAAGGTGTTATCTGCTGCTCTTGATATAACTACCCTTTTCTCCAAGCACCAGTTTTCCCTACATTCCTTAATCTGACAATACTTGTGTAGTCAAAATATTCTATTATTCGCAGTACTTTATCGTATTATTTTTATGGTTTGCCAAGCATTGGCACAATATTGGTGACTTTCACTGAGAGAACAAAAAAAGCCTTCCAAATCTTACTAAATATTGTTTATTTTGTTAGTTATTTTTCTCATATCTAGAGACTTCTGTTATACTGTAGGGTTTGAGTTCCCCAAATTATTATCAGAAGAAGTGTTTGCACTACTCTAACCAAAGAAATAACACATTCTCATGCTGTGAAACACCTAACCTTAAAGCCCCTGGGTCATACTTGGGTGCTCACACATCATTTCTGTCTCTCCCCTCCAGGTTCTTACGCACAGATGAAAACGGACTTCACACAACAACGTGAAAGTGGATTTGCAATAATTTTCAGTATTATATAATGGCATGCTGTATACACAACATGAAATAAAGTAAAAAGAACCTACAGGCAATTAAAACACTTTCCCTTAAGTCACTTTGTAAAAATAAAGCTCTTACCATTCATTCACTAAAATAAAATTGTTTTTAAAAGCAATTTACCTAAATCTTCAGGTTAAGTTTACACCTAGTCTTCATATTTATGACGTACTGAAATCTGCATGTATTAAACAAGATATTGCAATTTTAAGAGTCTTGGAATATCATTTGAGCTTGTTTGTATTATTAGAGTCATAATTCTGTGTAATGGACTGAAGTTAGTTCCAGTTATAGAACTAATGTAAACATTTTATTTTTTAAATTAATATTTCTGTTTTGAGTAATCACCTCCATAAAGCACAACACCACAAAAAAAACCCACAAGTAAGTATTTGATTCTAGCTATGCTCAGAAATGGATTTCTTTGACTAGGATTCTGAATGACATTTTGCATTTTCCCCACATTTCATCTAGACATTTTTCACACTTACCTGAGCATAAGGAGAGATGAAACTAGTAATGCACACCAAACCAGCATCTGCAAACAATTTAGCAACTTCAGCAATACGACGCACATTTTCTTCTCTATCTTCTGGTGTGAAACCCAGATTCTTATTAAGGCCTTGGCGGATATTGTCACCATCCAACGTGTAGCACGGAATACCATGGCACACTAAGTACTCCTCCAGTGCCATGCTCACTGTAGTCTTGCCAGCACCAGACAGACCTAAAATATTCAATAATCATATAAATATATAAGCATAGGAACAAGTTAAGGTAAGTTGTAATTATGAAAATCCCAAAGTGACAGGCAATAGCAGCAATGCCTTCTGGATAAGCTTACTTGGAATACAAGCCAAGTGGCTTTTACACAGAAAATAGGTAAAGAGAGAGTAAGGTAAAAGTTAAGTGTGCAGTTTGAAGCAGGTAAGAGCTTGGCCTTGAGCTCTGCTGCTGCTTATAGAGATAATGCTTTTTCCCCAGTGCTGCTGGCAATTATTTCTAGCTGAATAAACTTAATTCAGAAACCAAGCACAGTTAAGATGTTACATTTATATAAGAAGGGAAAGATCTCACATTGAAGTGAATTTCAGTCAACAAAAGAAATGGGATCAAGCCAAACTTGCACTCTGTTCTTACTCCTTGCAGAATAACAGCATTGAATTAGACACCATTGACTCACTCAAGACTCACACACAGCAGTGCTGCTCCACTAAATGGCATGTGTTAGCAACAAGAAAAGAAAACCATGCTAGCAAAGTCTGGTCTAATTGAGAATCTTTGGCAAGAAACCTATGCTGGCCCTAAAAAGTCCACTGTTCACTTTCATTTGGAAATTTATTTAAATAATTTTTCCAGATAAGATTTCAATTTATCTGGAGCACGTGCTTCTGCTTATACCAAGAAGTTAATTCATAACTGGAGCACAAACTCGGTTCTTCATATGACATTTACCCTTTGAGTGGGGGGGAAAAAAGAGTAATGGTAGTATAAAAAGAAGTAGCACTACTGGGTGAAGAAAAATGCTTTTATTAGTGGTGATTAAGATTTATTCTAACTTTCAGAGAATGGAGAAAAACAAAAAAAAAAATCACACAAAACAGCAGCTTGTGTGCTTCCAAGACATCTATGGCAAAGGACAAGCAATTGTGCTAAGAAATGTGTCCTAAGAAAACACAAAGTGCAAAGGAAATCTTGACAGCTTCTTAAAGAAAAGGAGTCATTGCATTGCTTCCTCTGGTGCCTGTTAGCCAAGTCAGTCTGTTAATATCACCCTGCCAGGCCACCCACTCATGGGGCTTTCTCCCTTTTTCTCCCTCTTGTGTATCTGGAGGGAGCTTGGGTTAAGTTCACTGATGATTTCCCAAGGATGAACCAGCTCAGTGTTGAGTTGGGCAAGAGGTACAGCCTGTGCAAGGCAAGAGAAGGAACACAAGGCGGGAAACTGAATGGTCTTCTTTTGGCAGCAATTAGATCACAGAAAATAGACACGACAGTCCAAAAGAATATTTCAGCAATTTCATCATTTACTTCTCACTGATGCAGTCTTTACTTGCCATTTCTGTCCCCACATCTAGCTTGCTATTCACTCACACGCTCTGTCTTTTCACACATCATTTGGTCTCCAACATGTAATGAATTGCAAAAGTTAATGTTATACATTAACAAATTTAAAAGCATTCCTCAAGCTGACAAGTCTTTAAAATAACTTACACTCTAAAAATTGCATATTATTTTACACATGAAAGCAATGTTTTTCCACATTTTTGCTAAATTCCTCCATTTTCTTTACTAGGACCCTCTGACTCAACATTCATTAAAACAGAGCTCTCAAATAAAGGTTACCTTGAAAAATGAAAAACGATCCCGGAAAGAGCTTTCCATACACTCCCACTCCATAAGTGCTGACAAATTAAGAGAGTGTCAAAGTGTCCCAGTATTTCAGCTTTTATTCTAATACCTATTAGAATTCTGAAACTCATGTTTGCACAGTTCTAGAATGGCTAATATTGCTTACTTCAATGCCTACAGTCCTTTTCACCCTTTCACATTACTGCTCAAACATCTTCAATAACCTAGCTTCCCACACACATTCTTGATATCTTACCACCACCCTCCTTCCTGTAAAAAAGGAAATTGGGCATTAAGATTACATTTGTTTAAAAAGAACATTGACTGGAAAATGTTGCCATGTAGATAACTGAGAACACATTTTTATCATGACCTTTTTCAAAATTAGATTAATGAATTACCAGAAGAAACGGAAAGGCAGCCCACCAGATCATTCAAGCATTGAGAGAGGCTGGAGCCTGTGATGGAAACAGGGAGAGAAAGGGCTCCATTCTTTTCCCAAATAAATAGATGACAGCCAGCAAATCTGCTTGGAATGACTCTCAGCAGTTCGTTATCAATGACCGCTTTACATTTCACACACATTTACTAACACTAGTGGAAATCAGTTTTACTTAATGTAATTGTAGTAAGTTTCCCTAATACTTTGTGAGGATCTTTTATGTCGCAATACAACAACGTTCTAAATGGTTTACAAGCCAATTAAATGACTTATTTTGCTACTTTTTCAATTACCACTTTAAAAAAAAAAAAAAAAAAAACAAAGAACTTTACAGGAAATATTTTAAAGCTTCCAAAAACTTCGAAAGACAGAAAAAATTTTCTCACTGTTGTGAAACAAAAAAGTCTTCCACAATGTATTTATCTTCTCTATTTACAAAAAAAAACAAAAAACCCCACAGAGCTGACTTCAAAAATAACTGCCAGTATGTATTGCCTAAACTTGCAATTGCTGTCCAATGGCACAGGTTTATGTTGAAATGTTATTTCAAACCAAGGAGACAATAATAATCCAAAGAGAAGAAGCTTTTACAGAAAAGATCCAGACGTACAGACTCTTACAAAAACAACATTTCATTTCTAAATAGATAAAATGGACAGTACAAAGAGACATAATTGGTTAAAACAAAAAGAAAGGGAAAAAAAAGAAACGCATGCAAAGAAAACCAGAATTAAGTAGCAGACAATATCAAAAAAAACAACTCTCTCAGAGCACTGAACAAAATATGTTCTCAAGTTACTATTTGTCCCAAAGCAATTTCCTGCTAGTCTACCTAAAAATAGTAATAAAACTGCATCAAGATCTTAGATTTCACAAGCATTCAACTTTGCATTCCAAAAAGAGCTAAGTAGCTTTTCAAAGGAGCAACTAAAACAAAAGGATTCTCAGAAACCTATGGCTGTACCTGTTAACCAGACTGTGCATCCACGAAAACCACTTCTTGTTCCTACGACTTGGCCTCTCTTATTCCTGCTGACGTGATGAGCTTGGTAGGTAACATTGGTTGCCCTTTGCATTCCCTGTAAAAGAAGAAGTCGATTAAATCTTTGATAAAGGGTGAGTTGGCAAAGCAAACAAATTCATCCACAGGCATAAAGAAAGACTTGAGGACAGAAAAATGGATGTAAAACCAATACCCATTCCATCAGCTCCAGCATGGATCAAAGGCGGCACAGAAAATTAGAACAGTCAGCCAGAGACAACCACACCCCTTGGGCTACTTCAGTGAAGCTTGGGACTGACAGGTTAATCAACTACTACTTTCAAATAAAACTTACTTAAGAAAAATCAACTATTAAAAAGAGAGATGAACTGCTAGAGCTGCTTGACTTGACTTCTATTAAAGTAATGTTAGGGATCTGCTTGGTAGAGTACCATGGGATAAAGACCTGAATGGAACAGGGGCCCAAGAAAACTGGTTAATACTCAAGGACCAGCTTCTCCAAGCTCATCCAGCTTCTCCAAGCTCCAATGCTCAAGATTCATCCCAACAAAGAGGAAGTCAGGCAAAACCAGCCAGGAAACCTGCATGGATGAAGAAGGAACTCCCGGACAAACTCAAACACAAAAAGGAATCCTACTGAGAGTGGAAGACTAGGGAAAATGTGGGCTCCCTCTGGATGGAAAAGGGAGACATGGTTACCCAAGATGTGGAAAAGGCTGAGGTAGTCAAGGACTTTTTCTGCCTCCATCTTCACTGATGAGTGCTCCAGTCACACCACCCAAGTCATGAAAGGCAAATGGAGGGACTGGGAAAATGAAGAACTATTGTCCAAGGCAGGAGAAGATGAGGTTTGAGGCCATCTACGGAGCCTGAAGGTGCACAGGTCCATGGGACCTGATGAGATGCATCCACAGCTCCTGAGTGAACTGGTGGAGGATGTGTCTAAGTGACAATCCATATTTGAGAAGTCACAGCAGTTTCTGTTGAAAAAACGGGCACATAAGCCTGTTTTTGAATAGGAAAGTAAGGAAGCCCTGGGCAACTACAAACCACCAGTCTCTCTTCTCTGCCCAGTAAGATCATGGAGCAGAAGATCCTGGAAACTATGCTATAAGACACACAGAAAACAAGGAGGTGATTTCTGACTGCCAACTTGACTTCACCAAGGGCAGATCATGCCTGTCAAATTTGGTGGCACTGGCTCTTTTGGCTCATTTTTAACTCCTCAGAGGCCTTTCCATTGCAAACTATGCACCTCTCTTCCAAATTTCAGTTAAGCAAGTGCCTTTATGTATGGTATCATCAGTCTCCAGACAAGAGATAGCTATCATAGATTCTAAATGTTTAAAGAAAGTATTATTGCAAGGAACTTTTTATAAGAATTATTTTAAAGATAGGGTTTTAAAAATATAATTTTAATTAAAATAAAGCTGGTTACTGAGTTTCTTAAAACAATTCACCATAATAACCTGCTGTACAAATAAATTCAGTAAGATGACCCTGCTGTCAAACACATTTCACAATCTGAAGTGAGAGAGCCCACAGGAAGATCAGCCTTGGCATCATCCCAGACTTTAATGGTATCTGGCTATATGAACTTTGTTTGTGAAAGATCAAGACCTTACATTGCCAGATCATGCGTGAACAATCAAACAAAAAAGAAGACTTTAAAAAAAGAGGAGAAGGGGGGCAGGGGATGAGAGGGATTAGTGGTATCTTTAATGCTGCTTGGGCTTCCTTTGCTTGCAAACATATTGCACTATCTTCCCTTTCATCATTGTATCAGTGCCAGTCGAAAAGAAAACATGCAGTATATTTAATATAAAACAAAGTAGGGACTATATTCCTCTGTGGAGTACTAGCAGAGAGCTGTTCATAGTTTCAGAGAGGGACACCACAAAGTAGAATTAACAAAAATATGGTATCTAATTGTGGCTTCAAGGATTGTTGCTACATCATTCTTCTATTCAAAGGTTTATCTATAACTTATTTGGAAATCATGAAGTTGTGTGATTGTATATCCCCATTTCTAGACATGTCTGGGCTCATAGTTAATACAAACAGAAGTTCAAGGTAAGAACCTGTGTTCAGGTTTTAAACACAGCAACTCTAATTCAGTGGTGATGGTCCAGCAACTAAAGTTAGATGAACACTGAATATCAAAAAAGAAGAAACCGCAATCTGCAAACAGGCTACAACCATACAAAATGACATTATCCTTGCGGATCATGCTACCTTAAATAATTTATCTCCCAAAACAAAAGTGTTTTGTGCACTAAGTCACTTCAATACAGCTGATTAAAACCAAAAGTCAAAAATTCAAAATCTTTCTTCTTACAGTAGGAACAATTATGCAGTACATAAGATTGGAGATCTCAGTGAGCAAATTGTGGAATTAAAAGCAACAAAAATAATTGAAGTACTTCAAATTAAAAGCTATATAGTGCATAATGAATGTATACAGCCATTCAAACTAACACAGTAATAGCTACATTCTCTCTCATTAAGTGCAGTTGTACTGCATTGTACCAGGCACTGGATAAACAGCAGTCTCAAAGCACAAATCCCATGCCACTGTCTCAGTAAGCTCTCTAACATTAAGACATAAACCCAAACATGTATTGCTTTTGATCCCTGGCAACGAGTCTATTATCAGTCTCATACATTGGTGGTCAAATGTCTTATTCAAAGAGAGTTCTTCCAGTCCATATTCCATAAATTACATCAGCTTCCTCTCTTTTCTAGGAAACTAGGAACTAGAAAAGGGTCTTAAAGGTCTCTTCCAACCTACAAATTCTGTGAAAAGCAGCAATTAAACTAATCAGGGTCTTCCACTAAGTTTACAAAACACAAGAAACCCCAAGAAAGCAGGCTGGAGGGATTCTTAAAATGATGAAAAATACACAGCTTTTATGTCAGAAAAAAAGTATTAATGCCTTCTTAGGAGAGATGAGAAACCACAGCAAGGAAAAGTCCTTACTTGAGGACAAGGCACACAGGTGCAGTGGAGCAACCAGTGAGCTGAGTACTTCTGAAGGAGGCACCTAAGACTAAAGGTTAAAGTGCCCAAAGAGTCTGCATGCACTCAAAACCCCATCACCAGCTGCCCCACCTTTTCTATCTGTGTACAGACACACCAACAAGGGAGCTGAGTACTAATCCTGGGCAAAGCAGCACCCAAATCCCCCTTATCTTCTGAAAGAAAACCAATTTTATAGAGGTGCTCTAAAAAGTTAATAATTTAGCAAGTCATTCTCTGTTGCTGAAAAAAAAAAAAGTACTTCCCTATTTATGTCCACTTTCCTATGAAATAATTTTCTTCCATATGATCTGCCTACACCACTGAGCATAAATAGCTGAACAAGCTAAATATTGTATCTTCAACAACCCAGGTTTTTAATTACTATCCCTGACATACACGCTTAACACAAATATTGATGTGGCACAAAAAATACTCACTGGCACATATTGTTTGTGCTCTTAAATTATTTAGCTTGTCTTCAAATTCTTGTACATAAAATTTGATGACTATCAACTGATGAAATTAAATGACCAACCAAAATGATACCACACATAAAGAACAGTCATTTCCTTTTACACTATTTCAAAGCATCACCTTGGATAGCTATATTAACAATGTTAAAAGAAATGAAACCAAGGAAACATGAAATAGAAAAACTCAATGTGATGAGCAAGTTCTCTTTGAAAAAGCTATTTCAAAATTCTAAGCCTAATTACATTCACTATATAATCACTGCAGTAAGGATACATTACAGTTGTGTAAAGGGGCTAATGAAAAAAGGGCATTAATCACTAAGGTTCATCTGCTTTTTTAACAGTCATTGGATATTTCCACTCTGACATCCCGACAAAAATATGTCTTCCACCCTGCAACACAGTGCTTCTGCATTATGTAGACAAACACTTCATCTTAATATTTTCCCTCCTACTTCACCACGTTAAACAGAAATAGTGCTTCAGTCCACTGTGTTTCATTTTAGCAGTAATGTCAGCTGAGAATGCGGATATATCCCTCCTTTCTTCTCCCCCACTATGCTGGTTTGTTTCTCACATGAAATCTAAATTGCTCCAACAGGCAAACATCTGGGTATTGAAGTAAAAAAAGGGGCACTAAAGAAATCCTTTCTTGGATGCGCACTGGAGAGCTGCAATGATAAAGAAGGAAGGATGACTTTGCTGTTTACTTTTCCTGGCATGAAGGTAAATTTTAGCTTTGCAGGTAGTTGACCAAGGAAATTAATGATTACAGACACCTTGGAACCACAGGAACAAAAGAAAGAAAGAAAGATGATGGGGTCAAAAGGAAATACTAACTCTGTCAACTTTTCTATGTACAGACTTCCTGAGATGACACTTTTTTTTTCCTATTTTTCTTGATGTTTTGCCCAGTTACAGCTGTAATTTTTTTATTGCCAAAACCAAATCAGACTATCAGTGCCAAACACCTTTGATGCAAGAACACAGACAGGCATCCAGATGATGGAAAGCAAACCCAAGTTGCAATGCCAAGATCAAAAGACAGCCAAAGGAAGAGATTATATCTTAATTGTTTTATGGTTAACAGACAAATGGCATATACACTGCATAAGCTGAATTTATTCTTCATTACTTACAAGCAACAATAAAATATTATACTTCTACTATCAATACAAATTTTAAGTTTTCACAAAGCAAGACCTCTGGGGAAGAAAGTAAATCTTTCCATGGCAAGCTGAGACTCCCCAAGCTGCATCATAAACTTGGGACAGCTTGAAGCTGGAAGGATCAGAAAACAGACATGGTTTCCATATAAACCACATACACTGAAGAAACTGTGACTAAGTCCATACCCTTCTGCTCTTAAGATGACATGTTGGCTCCCCAAGCTAAGAACTCCCATATGCTAGCAAAAGCAACATGAGCAGCCTCTCCTCTGAACTGCAGTCTTACTTTCAATGCCTTTCTCATTTCTCAGTCATAATAGAGTTCTTCAGGTCATTTGTTAACTTGCTCACCATATGCCTCTTATAAACCAGTAACTCCCTGATAACAACACATTCTTATGACATTTATTATTCAGCACTGGAACAGTGCCCATCTTTTTTGTCTATATACAAACACAAGCAAGGAAAACAGACATGGTTCCAACACAAAAAATTCAGCTACCACAGAGGTTATACCTACATATTTATATGAGATTTCAGGACTAAAAGATCTGTCAAGAATACCTTCCATTAGCTACTTCTCAAATTCTGGTTTGAAAATCTATGCTTTGACTCAGATAACTGCTTGGGAACAAAGCACAAGCCCAGAAATTATATCTGAGCAATAACATATTTTACTCTTTCTGCCATAGCCTATAGCATTACATTTTCTCTCATCTATAAGAAGAATTCTTACTTGGATCCTTACAATAACCCACCAGAAAGCAGACTGCCACAGTGATACCAATACAATAAGGCACTTAAACACCTCTACATAAAGCACCACCCAAGCTGCCAAATGCACACTCTCCTGCCACTGACACAGACTAGCTCCCCTTTGCCAGGTGCTCTAAAGTTGGGACAATTCAAATGATCACAGCAGCAGAAATCACCCAGAATCTTCCCCAGTACTGTGGATACAAGAAATGCAGTGCTAAAGATATTGTTAAGGAGTGTGTCTTTGCTTGCCACCTGCTGCCGTACCAGTACGACCAAAGGCAGAGAGAGCTCACTGACCAGTGCTGGAGGGGGTTCACTGCCTGGCATCAGAGGGGATGGATAAAAAATGAAGCCAAAATACCCTACTGAATATGCTCTCAGACAAAAGAATTGGAGCAAGTTCTCTTTCAGAGTCACCTGCAAACTGACACAACAGCTCAGCAGTGTTAGGAATCCAAGCCACTCTAAAGAAAGTGTGCCACACGTCTCCCTGTCAAGCCATGTTCTCCACACTTAATGGCAGTGTCTGTGGCTATGCTGTGCCCTGTAAATGGGGAGTAACTGTTTGCTGTGCTCAGAGGTGGGCTTGGCAAGAGCATTTCCACAGGCAGAGGTGTATTCTGAATCACACTGGAAGCACAGAGGAATTCTGAAAGACAGGGCTCTGCCTACTCTCCTAGGGGCTGCCAAGTCCATCAGGGTAAGTTGCTTTGACTTCGCTCTCAACTGAACAGATGCAGAGCCAGAAGTGCCAGAACATTTGCCTGTGGAGCATGTGAATCAGCAGCATTTTTGTTCCTGGTGAAGCTTATTGGTTTATAGAGAGCATTTCAGTTGAGGTCTTGTGAAGAAAAAGGGAGAAGTGGAAGACTTCCTCTACTTGCCACGTAGCATAGAGGGGGTTGCCAACCTCAGCTGAACTCAGCAAACACTTAATGTCCGTTAGGGAATTGTCCCAGTCTGGACAAACCTCTCTTGGCTTTGCTTATGACTAAGGAAATGATACAGAGTAACTTTTGCATACACTTTGTTAACCTCATACAGACATCGTCTATTTCACTATCTGCTAAACATCTGATTTTGCTTTTTCCTAGTGGAAATTGAAAGAATGTAAATTGCTGGTTACTGTCTTACGTGAACAAGTTCGAGCTTGTACACAGTGGAAGAGGCTTGGACAGGCACTACATCTATCCAACACTACGACAGAAACTTCCCCGTTTTTCAGGCAACAGCTGCTTTTAGCAAGAAAGCTGTGGCCTGCACTACCCACAGCAAGACATCAAAGACTGATTTATACTCTTACACTCATATCAAATGTTTTCTGCATCTTATGTCTTGCCTGTTTCAACTCAGCATTGATTGAAAGAAATCATGTTTTCTTTTTCATTTCTTTTCGCTTGTCTTGCAGCATCAGAGGTATCAAATGTTCTCAAAGGCCTGCAATGTCTCTTCTAAATAACTGCATTTTGGTTTTTGCTGTAAATCGATCTTCCCCCATCTTTATGAACAAGAATGAAGGCTTTGGTTAGATTTTTTTAAGCCCAGTCTCGACAGTTTTCCACATAACACCCGCTATACAAAGAACCCCAGTCTCTGGCCAACCCAGATTTATGAATGGCCACATTGTACATTGCATTCTTAAGCCTTCCTTCTTCCAAAAAGCTGGAAGCCGAGGGCTTAGGGCGGAAGAGGCAGGCACGAAGCCTACAGACGCCGGCTGCTCTCCGGAGGGGCTTCCTGCCCTTCCCCACAGCCGCTGCCCGCGGGGCCCGGGCGCTGCCGCTCGGTGACCGGGCTGGCCCCGCCGTCCCGCATCCCTCCCGGCCGGGGCGGGCAGCGGCGCCCGGCGCCGGCGCCCCCGTCCCGGCTCCCGCTGCCGCCCCTGCCACATCCCCGCGGGCTCGGCCGCCGCTCCTGCCCGCTCCCCTGCCCCGCACGCCCACCTGCCCTCCGGCGCACCGCCCGCCCGCCCGCTCACCCAGCTCGGCACCCTGTTGCTCAGCTTGACTTTCTTGCACTGGCTCTCGGGCAGCTCCATGGCCGCGGCAGCGAGAAGAGGAGGCAGGGGAGGAGGACGCGCGTTCCCGACTGATGCTCGGCTCGGATGAAGCCGCTGCCGCCGAGGCGCTGCGCCGTCTGCGCACTCCCGCGACTCGGCCAAAGGTGGTGCAGGGAGGAGCCGCGGCCCGCCGGCCGCAGGGAGGGAGGGAGGGACGGACGGACGGAGGGAGGGAAGAAGGGAAGGAGGGAGGCGGCTGAGGGGAGAGGGAGCCACGGCAGCCCCGCCACGCGCCTGCGCCGCGCCGTGACGTGCGCGGGGGAGCGGCCGCCGCCACTTCCGCCGTCACCGCCTCTGGTCGTGGCCCCGTCCGTGTCCGTGTCCCTGTCCCTGTCCCTCCCTGTCCCTGCCCATGGTCCATTCCCCTACGTCACCGCCTCTGGTCGTGGCCCCGTCCGTGTCCGTGTCCCTGTCCCTGCCCATGTCCATTCCCCTGTCCTTGCCCGTGTCCATGTCCCTGTGACCCCCCGCGGCCCGGCCCTGCGCCCTCCAACGCAGCTCGCTTCATTCAAGAGGACATAGTCCTAAGCTGTGACGAAAGGAGACAGCCTGAAGCTGCGCCAGGGGAGGTGTAGCTGGGACGTCGGGAGGAATTCCTCCACGGAAAGGGATGAGACACTGGAATGGGCTGCCCAGGGAGCGGATGGAGTCACGGTCCCTGGAGGTGTTTAAGGAAACACTGGATGTGGCACTTGGTGGTCTGGATGACAAGGAGGTGTTGGGTCACAGCTGGACCCGGTGATCCCAGAGGTCTTTTCCAGCCCCGCTGATGGAGCGCTCCCCTCCCGCTCTGCGCTGCAGCGTTCCGCTCGGCCGGCATAGCGGAGATGTTCCCTCTTGAGCGTGTCCTCCCCACCTGCACTTGATGCACGGAGGAGAGGCTGCTGCGCCCTTGGGAAAAGCTCGGCACGGGGAATGTGGCTGTCGCATTATTCCGCGACAAAAATTTCCCCGACGAACAAAGCTCACCCCGTGCAGCGCTCTAGGAAATGTTTCTTACTATGGATTTAGAACCAGAAGTTCTTAGGTTCTTGTTTCCAGAACGGAACTGGTTTATCAGTTAGGTGCTAATCTTAAGGTGGAGACGATGCCATGCTAACAGGAGTGGCATTTACTGTATAAATAGAAGTCCATTTACAATAGTTCAAGAAAGGAAGTACTTTAGCACTTTTAAGTGTTGTGGGTGGAAATGGTGCTGTAATCACAGGAGTTGCATTTACTGTAAAAACGTTAGGCTAATCAACATCTGGAGCGTGTTTGTTCACAGACAGTTTAAACAGGAAATAAAAATCCCCCTTTGTGGATCAATGTTTACTCCTGCTATATCAGAAAAACATCCTTCCAAAGAAAATAAGGTGTTGGCTTAAAAACAGGTATTATTACTCAGATTAAAATCCTTACGCAAAGTAGATAATGTCTCTGAAATCAAGAAAAATAGTTAGAAATGCTCTCAGCCAATTTGAAGGTCTGATGGAATAATACAAAGTAACAAAGAAATTCAAAAATTACAGTTATTTATTTAGGCTTGGCTTGAATGTTATACCACATGTTGCCCTGCAAGTAACTGTTCAACAGATGGTCTCTGGCTGTATTGTGATCATGACAAACAATGACAGAGCCAGGGCAAAATCTCCCATGTTATGCTCTCCCATGTTATAGAAAGAGAACCAGCACTCTGCTGTGGAACAGTGACTTGAGAGCTTAACTGACTGTTCAGTTATGTCTAGGATGTGCTGGGTTAGTGTGCTTTCACAACATTGTTTTACATGCTTAAGAGTAATTCTCAGTGTTATTTGTGGTCATGATGTTCTTTAAATTCTACTGTTATTTTATTCTGACTGTATTGATATAGGTTGGTACTCTTCATTCTGCACTATAAGATACAATAGTGGGAAAACAGTGGTTTGCAAGAGTTGTAAATTAAATCCAAAACCAAAGGCAACCCACTTAACTATGCAGCAGTGAGTTCTTACAGGTCCATTTGGCTCCCCTGTAATAGATGGGCGGGGAGCAAAACACTGAATTTTTTAAAATAGTCTCCATAGGAGTTCAGCCTTGGTCAGCTCTTTGACAGCAAGAAGTCCCATCCCATCACAGGATCTTTTCTGCTACCTACGTTGTAAATAAATGTTTCATTCTGATTTGAAGGTTGAGAAAACAAGGCATTGAGCACTGATGAGGTTTTAGGCAATCGTATTTACAGTTTGAAAAACCACAAGAGAAGAAAATGCAGTTATATTGATCAGCATATATACACAATACTGCCCAAATGGACTGAAGGTGGGGTGCTGCAAGGTTCTTTTCCAGAAACTGCTGAAGAAACCCTGATGAATGAACTACATACAAGTGAAATGTGAAGTATGTCTGCAAATGTGGACACCAGTGGTCAGACAGATGACATAATCTCAGAGGTAATTAAAAAACCCATTTCTGAACAGCAACTCCCAAAAAAAATCACCTTTTATGATTACACTAACATTCTAAAATAATGTATAATTACATATGCATATATAGTATCTTAAAATATTATAGTAAAGGCACACACTTGGATGAGGTGTATCACAAAATTGGTATGTCTGGAAGGGAACATTGGTGAACTCCTCTGGTCCAACCTCCCTGCTCAAGCAGGGAGCACATGGCACAGGATTGCATCTAGATGGTTCTTGAGTATCTCCAGTGAAGGAGACCCTCCAGCCTCCCTGTTCCATCTGTTTAGTGTTCACCTGCACAATAAAGAAGTTCTTCCTTACAGAATCAGAATCACAGAATGGCTTGGGTTGGAAGGGTCCTCAAAGATCATCTACTTCCGAGCCCTCTGCCATGGGCAGGGACACCTTTCAGGGACCAAGTTGCTCATATTCAAGTGGAACTTGTTGTGCATCAGCTTCTGCCTGTTGCCTTGTGTCCCATTGCTTGACACCACTGAGAAGAGCCTGGATCCATCATCTTGGCACCCTCCCTCCAGATTCTTACAGACACTGATGAGGACCTCTCTGAGTCTTCTCAAGACTGAACCAGCCCAGCTCCCTCAGCCTCTCCTCCTCCTAAGAGTGATGCTCCAGACTTTTCACCAACTTAATAGCTCTCCGCTGGACCTGCTCCAAGAGCTCCATGTCTCTCTTGTGCTGAGGAGCCCAGAACTGGACACAGCACTCCAGATTTGCCTCACCAGGGCTGAGCTGAGAGTGAGGATCACATCCCTCAACTTGCTGGCAATGCTCCTCCTAATGCAATATATCGGACAATAACCAACTTTTACATATTTTACAGAGGCTATTGTCACAAGCATGGGTCACATTTCATCAGCTCTTGTCAAAGCTGTTTCAGTGGAAATGTAAATGTAATTTTATTGTACAGAAGTTTGACATGTAAGTTCATCCAGTGCTGCCCACACATTTTGCATCTTTAACTTCTTAACCTCCTCAGACTATTAAAGAGGGAGATGAAAAGAGGTTTCTTTAAACATAGGAAGCAAGTATATATTAATTTATACAAAGATTTGGGGAATTAATTCTTTACCTATGAATTCTCTGTAAGGTAATGTGCATGTTCTACAGGGTTGTTAAGGGGTAGCTCCAATTCCACTTTCCTGAAATCTTTCGTGATTGGATTGATTTTGATATGCAAGTCAGGTGTTTTCTGAACTTCAAAAGCACTTTTCTGTGGGAGCCCTTAGTGAAATTCATGTCAATATGAATTACTGGTATTTCTTAATCTTCATCCAAGCTGAATTCAAAAACTCCTCTCATGACAGTGCTCTTGCAACCCCTCTCTATGGAGCTAATAGAGCTGGATAAGGTGCTAAGGCTGTGCCATTGCTAAATTTTAAATTCTGCTCAGAGAATTAAGACAATAGAGCTAAAAGTTCATGAGCTGTATTTCTGGCTAGTCTGAACCCCCAAAAAGAAGACATACTCAACCTCCGAAAGAACCACCAGGATTTAGTATCCTTGAGCTGATTTTGATGCTGAAGACTTCTGTCAAAGAGCTACTCTATAAAATGACAAAAATAAATTTGGATTTAATGTCTAGCAGAAGCAACAAACCCAATATTTTGGGCTTAGCTTCAAAGAGGGAAGTTACATTAAAATTGATTTATTTGTTAAAAACAAAATACTAGGATTTTCATGGCCAACACAGGGACAAGTTAAAGAAACTATTTTGGATTTTGATATGAAGGTTGGGAAAAAAAATAGTCTTTGAGCACAGATGAGGTCTTAGGCAAAGCTACATGCACACAACACCCCTGAAGAAGGACTCTCAGCCCAGAGCAAATTGTACACATGGACATGCTGACCAGACCAACTCAGGGAAAACCTTTCAATTCTACATAGGGCCACTTACATGGAAAATAATTTTCTGCTGAGTAAGCTTTTGCAAAGCCAATTATCTAATACCAATCAATCCCAAACATATAGTAAGAATCCCAATGTATATTTAAAATTACTGAGGAGAGAGACACATAGTACCATACAGTTTTGATTTCCAGTAAAATCTGAGCAACTGATCATTTTAGGAACAAGACAAGAAGATTTCTTCTTAGGTTATATTCCAAAGAAATGTGCAAATTTTCAGTGGTAAAAAACAGCATTTCAAAGAACAAATATTTAATTACAATACTAAAAAAATTATTTTGTCTGATACTTTTTACTACAGTGTGTCACCAAACAAGAGATAAATGACTTGGTATACAAGCCCAGAAATGCCTTAGCTATAAATATTACCTTTAAGATGCATGCCCTCTTATTTCTAGGAGGAAAAAAAATATTAATGAAGCATTCTCTAGAATCCACCTAGTGTTGTCACTTACAATAAAATTAATGAGAAACTAGGGAAGAAGTTCCTTTAATACTGGAATTGCTCCTCTGGTAAGCATTCTGATCAAATTGTGATGGCATCTCATGCTCATCTACAGATCTGTTTTGTTTTTTTTTTCCCTTGCAAAATATCCAGAGCAATGAAATTCAGGCACTCATACA